GAACTATGCCAGTCATTAACTAGTAGCCGACCGCAGATAGCCGAATGACGGCTTCACTGCGGCCGGCCAGTTCTGAGTGGACGTCATAGGACGTCCCCCAGAACACGCTCTCCTGCGCGCCCCAGGGGGCGCGCACCCGGCGATCTCCGTGATCGCTGTGTCCTACGGACACAGCTGATCACGTGATGTGGTAAAAGGCCGATCCCAGCGGCCTTTTACCACGTGATCAGCGGTGTCCAATGACACGCTGATCACAGGGAAATGCAAGTGCCGGTTCTCGGCTGCACTTTCCTCACGCTGTCAGATCGTGAGGAAAGTACTGCCGAAAACCGGCAGTTGTCAGAGCGGGGATCAGCACCGATCATCAGGGCACTGATGATCAGTGCCCTGATGATCGGTGCCCAGCAGTGCCACCCGCAAGTTCCGCCCACCTGTGCCCAGCAGGGCGCCCACTAGCTCCGCCCACCTGTGCACAGCAGATCACCCACCTGTGCCCAGCAGTGCACCCACCTGTGCCCAGCAGTGCACCCACCTGTGCCACTCTGCAGTGTCACCCACCTGTGCCCATAAGTGCCACCCACCTGTGCCCAGAAGTGCCACCCACCTGTGCCCAGAAGTGCACCCACCTGTGCCCACCCACCAGTGCCCGCCCACCAGTGCAGCCCAGCAGTGCAGCCAGTCAGTGCAGCCCAGCAGTCAGTGCCCAGGGGTTGTGCCAGTCAGTGCCGCCAGTCAGTGCCCAGCAGTGATGCCAGTCAGTGCCGCTATCAGTACCCATCATCAGTGTCACCTATCAGTGCCGCCTATCAGTGCTGCATATTAGTGCCGCCTATCTGTGCTGCCTCATTAGTACTGCCTATCAGTGCCCCTCATTAGTGCTGCCTATCAGTGCCCTTTAGTGCTGCCTATCAGTGCCGCCTATCAGTGCTGCCTCATCAACGCACATCAGTGAAGGAGAAAAAATACCTGTTTGAAAAATTTTATAATAGAAACAAAGAAACTTTTTTTTTTTTTCAAATTTTTTGCACTTTTTTTTATTTATAGCGCAAAAAGTAAAGCGCCCAGTGGCAATTAAATACCACCAAAAGAAAGCTCTATATGTGAGAAAAAAATGATCAAAATTTCATATGGGTACAATGTTGCATGACCGCGCAATTGTCAATCAAAGTGCGGCAGCGCTGAAAGCTGAAAATTGGCCTGGTAAATAAGGGGGTATAAGTGCCTGGTAGGCAAGTGGTTAAAGAGTCCCTAAAAATTAGAAACAATGGCTTTGAAATGACAGGGGTCAATTCTTTAAGGACCCGTGGGTATATGCCATCTGGGCCAGGTGCTTTATTCATCTTTATTCTGTCTAAATATTTCCAGATCATATCAGTTGTGAACCAATGTGGATGATCTGGTGCTGTATCAATACCATGCCAATTAAGGACAACAGCTCCACCATGCTCCTTTGTATACACAGAGCTGAAGAAGGCATTTAACCAGTTCCGCATTGCCCTATAATAGAAATACTGCTACAGGGCAGCACGGGTGCGCAAAGTCACATATTTATACGTGATTTTGCAGTTCTGGGTAGGGGGCGCGCACGAGCCCTACTCTCGCCGCCATTCACGGCCTTGGCTGTCAATCACCGAGTATCTCCGACGGGGGAGAGACCTGTATGAAGACAATACAGATCTCTCCCCTGTCAGCTCCTGCAAACTGCTTTGTATGGCTCTATAACGCAGGCTCCAGTGCCCGAAGGCCGCATTACAGGCAAAACCCCAAGGATTATTCTTCTTATCCAGCGAGGCTCAGGTACCATCCATTCTGGCTAACAGCTTTTTGAATGGATCCGATTGAGTTCCTTGATTCCCAGTTGAATTGTTCCAGACCTCCCAGTATGCTCACAGAGCACATGCAGCACATGTTCAGTGACCATCCACCTTACAGACACTAGCAAAAAAACTGATTACTTTCTGTTTCAGAGGGGTTATATGAGGGAGAACTTCCTGTTTGATTGGGCGGCCAGTGTCCATTCACTGATAGGTGGCATATAACCCCCAGTCACTATTATGGCCTGCTTTACGTCCCATGATGTACAATACAGGAATGTTAAAATAAATGAACCAGGTAAAGTAGTGTACAATGTGGATATACAGTATCGGCAGCCACATAACAGAATAGTCCATTTTTTTTCTGTAATTCACTACCATTACCCCTAAATAATGACGCCAGAGCATAATATGCAAACTTGGCTTATATAAGCATGCATGTCTTTGCAATGATAGTTTTAAACATAATTATATTCAGCTCTTCTGTCTATATAGGATCCAGTACTCACCTGATAATTTCTTCTGCAGAACTTCTATTTCGATCTTCAAACTGCGGATCTCATTGTCTTTGTTGATTGTGTTTTGCACAAGATCTTAAAAACAAAACATTGAATGTTCAGAATGCAGTACAGTACAGACAGGCCTTGCAGAAGTAATATTATTATGTACATGTACTCACCTTGATACTGATCTTTTTCCTGCCCCAGTTTATTTCCTACACCATTACTGACACAGTTGATCAGTGTTCCAGCGTCTGACAAGGAGCTAAATTTGTATTTTAAACAGATACTTAAATAACAGAAAGTGGAATGAACTACAAAAAAACTAAGCAATTAGTTGAACAACCTGAAAAAGAACACACCCAAACATCTTCCACCACATTTACATAATCTTCAAGGCAAAACCATAAAATATAGCAAAGAATATAACCCAGCAAATCCAAAAGTACATAAATACACAAGACATAAGAACTGCATATTTGCCAAAAAATTAAAGGGAAAGAAACAAAAAGGAGATTTACAAAAACTGGTGCATTTAGAATCTGGTGCAGCTGTGCATGGTAGCCAATCAGCTTTTAACTTAAAGTGATATTAAAGTTCAGTTTTAAAAATAAATACATAAATATGTCATAATTACCTGCTCTGCACAATGGTTTTGCACAGAGCAGGCCCAATCTTCCTCTTCTCAGACCCCCACCCCCAATCCTGGCTCCTCCTCCTTGACCAGTGCCTCCAATAGCCAGCTGCTTGCTATGGGGGCACTGGTGCGTGCTCACTCTGGAGCCCCGCACTATGCGTCCATAAGACACAAAGCCATGGCTCAGGCCCCGCCCCCTGCTTTCTTCTCATTGGCTCACTGGCTGTGAATGACAGCAGTGAGAGCCAATGGCTTCTGCTGCTGTCTGTCAATGAAGAGAGGAAGTCCCGGGATAGCAGTGGCTTGTCTTTACATCGCTGGGGGGGAGCAACACACAAAGTTTTTTACCATCATGCATAGAATGCATGAAGGTAAAAAACCTTCAGCCTTTAAAAACACTTTCAGCTTGTTCGATTAAGCTTTGGCAATAAAACCTGGAAGCGATTGGTTTGTGTGCAGAGCTGCACCAGATTTTGCACTCTCCAGTTTTAGCAAATCAACCCCATAATGTTTGCCATTGCTGTTTTTTCATTCTGCAAATGCTTGGTGCCTGGATGTCATGTTTATCCTTTAACTTCAATACCCTGAGCCCCTAATTGAGAAGAAACTAGCAGAGAAGAATTTTTTACTTCAATCTGACTTTCCTAACCTGAATACTTTTTAATTTTTTTTCTAGATCAGCCACTTTAAGTACTAAAGCAGAGTGGTCAGCATAAAGGGTTTGTTTAGATGCGTATATGAAGCAGGCTTTCAGGTGCATTCCACCTGTGTTTTAAGCCAGTTTAAAAATATTCTGCATTCCATCTGTATTCCTTCAGAAATTTTTGTGACCTGCAACTGACCTTCTAATCCGCATTTGACCTACATTAAAGTGGAACTACATTTTAAAATGTGAGCAGACAAGCTCTTTATTGCAGAAAAGACATCCAAAGTCTCTTCTGCAATAAAATAAAGCTGCCTGTCTGCTTGCAGTCCTCTCTAAAGCTGCACATGCACAGTTCCGTTTACATTCGGGCACAGTGCCTGTGTGATGGAATGACTGAACTGTGAACCAGTAATGGAAAAATGTGTGCTGCTCAGGCTACAAAGGAAAGCAACCCTGTGTCTACCACTATGAGTACAGGCCAAGGAAAGAGCTCCAAGCAACTGTTACGCAAAGGATAGATCCCATGAAGCCACACATCTATGTAGACCCGCTGGTGTTGGAATGAATGGCCATCTCAGCCTGGGGGAGTGGCCTAATTGGAGCCTAGGCTGAGACTGCCATTCATTTCAATACTAGCGGTGTGCATAGATATGTGGCTTCATAGGATCCATCCTTTGCTTAATGGAATGACTGAACTCGTGCACATGTACTGGAGATATGTCGTCCCCGTGATGACCAAGATGACCAGAGAGATGATGTTGTCAGATTGTTTAAGCAGAGATAAGTATTGTGAACTCTAGTAGTTCTTTAAAGCTGCTTCATGCTGCCGTTTTATCCACATTCATTATGGGGGGGAAGTTCTGGGGGGTTACACTTCTGGCACCATGCGGAGACAGTAATGGCAGACCTATATTTCGCCTAGGAAATAATTACCTTCAGTGATTGGTCATATATTCGTTCTTGTATACTTACCAGTTGGATGTAAATGTGAATCCCACAAAAGGCAGAAGATGAGCAGCAAACCCATTGAGGTTATTTGGAGGTAATGTTTCCTGGAGAAATGTAAAATTATATTTAATCTGTAAAATGCTATTGATGGTTCATATATTAAATTTTCCAGCAAAATATAAATGCATTGGAGTAGGGATATTTATATAACCCTGGGATAACAAAAAACACATGCAATAGCACAAATATCACATGGCTGTAAAACTCCTCTTTAAGGAAATTTCCCTTGACTTTTTGTCTGCAAACTTGACAGGAAGAATAATAATAAAAAAAAAAAAAAAAGATTAAAAACATGACAGTGATTCTATCCACTCACATAAAAACAAAAAGAAAGTAGAATGGTCTCTCTTTACATTTTAGGGAACATTTGCAACTTAAATCAGCTGTATGCATTTCTACTCTGCATTAATGTCCTTAATATATCCTATGTCATGTGGAATATCATATAGACTTGGCACAGTTAACATGTGCTTAATTTTTTTAGTTAGCATAGAAATTGAACAAATAAACAGAAAATCATCACCAACCGAACTTTTCAAAGAATCATCATCCACATCAAAGTTGGAGGTGTCTGCTGGGTTGTCAACCTCAGGAATATAGGGTGGAACAGCAGTATGTATGTTATCCCAATCTACTCCGCTAAAGAATGGGTGTTTCTTAAAATCGCTGACACCTCCTCTTCCAAGGCGTTTCTCTTGCCGGCATATAAGTCGCTTGATGAGATCCTTTGCATGCTCAGATACATCAGTAATGTCAGATGGAAACTGCAAATGTTCCTGTACCAGAAATAAAAAAGTTTAATAGTCAAGCACTATATAATAACCTAATGTGGAATAATTTAAGTTTCAATTTAAAAAAATAACAGGTGCATTGGTAAAACACCCATATGACCTTATTTCAGATATTTGTTTCACTTATTTAACAATCATTTGCAACACCTAGTGATAAAATAGCAAACTTGGTAGCGGGAATGAGTTAACAAAGATCTCTTGTGTAGCTCTGGACTATTCAGGTGACTACCAGCAAATAGTATCAATCTCTTCATAAAAAGATTAAAGTCATCAGCTTAGCCCTAGCCTAAGGCTGGTCATACATGAGTCAGTTTCGACCAGCAGGATGAACGAAAAAAAAAAAAAAAAACTGACCTGATTCCCTCATCCACTTCTTCAGGTTGATGGAGCAATCCTCCCCACTGTGTCTTTGCATTCTGATAGTGGAGAGACTTCCTAACCATCAGAATACTCTGGGTCAGTACTGCAGTCTTATTGCCTGCAGTGCTAATCAAGCAGAAAAAAAAAACACGACCGGGCAGTTGAACAAAAGTCAAATCGGTAGATCGATTTCTGCTCAACTGCTATAGCCACACATGGAACAAAATTCATCCAATCCTTGCTGAACAGGCTAAATTTCGATCTATGTATAGGCAGCTTAGGAGTGTTCTTTAGCACAATTTAAACATGCATGGGAAATCCTGGGACATCTGACCTCACCAGCATTTCCAGGGTGCTCCATGATCAAGCTCTGCCCTGCATTCCCTGCAACCTCACTGCAACATTATACTGCTTTTATAAGTAGTACCCTCTAGTGTGCTGCTAGAATAGTGTAGGCAAATCTATTGGGTATGACACATGGTAACTGTGCGAGTCTGTGATTAAGGTCAGGTTACTGCAGGTCAAGCTGGATGACTTAACAGTTCTGGTTGTGGAGGACCATGGAACCTTCCAGAAGCCAGGGAGCAGAAGGGGTGGAGATCTAATCTACATGCTTGTGGGAGACTAGCCAATCTCAGGTTTGGAAACACAGCAGCCCTCGTGAGGGTAGCGCTACATATGAATTATAAATAAATATTTAAAAAAAATAATAAACTAAATATATATATATATATATATATATATATATAAAAAACTTTTTCCCATATAAATGAAACTATTGGAAATAGATCAGGTACCCCATGAAAAAACAAAAAACACTGCAGGTGTCTGACACAAGCAAAGGTTGTTGTTTATGGCGTATTTGCATATTTGCCAAAACACTCTCACAAGCATGTGTGATGTCCTACAGGATTTTTGTGAATGAAAACCTGTGAAAATTGTGCCATCTTTATCAATTCCTGCCCAAACAAGTCTAATTTGATCTGATCTCAACGTTGCACTATATTTATGCAGATTTCTTCCTGCTTGCTGCAATTAGGCAAATCTTTTTTTTTTGCTTTGGATAGAGTAGAGAGGGATAAGAACCCCTGTCAGGTTTTTTTGTGTGTCTTGTGTCCTTGTTAGGGAGATTCACCCTCTATGTTTACTGTCATCACAGAAAGTGAAGTAAAAGAAAATTAAAAAAAAAATAGAGGGCAAATCTTCCAATGGGGGACACTAGCTCAGGTGACAACCATGGATTCCCTCACATTTCCACTCACTTCCTGTTTTGGCTATGAGACAGGAAGTGAAGAAAATTCTCTCCAAAAGGGACACAAAGGGCAACAAATCCGTCCCTTATTCTATCCAGAAAAAAAAAAAAAAGGAAAATTGCATCATATTTACCGTAATTTTCCTTTCCCGACGCAAAATCATGGCAGCATACATGTGATATAGCTCTGCCCCTAAATCCACTCACAGGACATTGTATAATTTATACAATTCTGACTGAGAGCAACCTCCCCCATTCACCGTACAATCAAGATCAAACAAGGGAGAGTTCGTATGCTGCCATGGATTGGCGTCAGGAAAGGAAAATTACGGTACGTATGATACAATTTTCCATTTTTCAATGACAACATGGCAGCATACATGTGATAAATAACTAGCTAAACAGGGAGGATTAAACTGTATAGTAAAACTGCATTACAATGGACATGGAAGCCTAAACTACCATTCTGTTGAATTCCATTGATGTATAAGTCCCTGGATCTTCCCTGTAGTGCCTGAGGCAGGTGCTCTGTGGTAACTAGCCTGCTGCTTTGCAAAAGTCTTCATAGACACTTTGCATGCACTACCCCGAATGTAGAGATGGTCCTGGCTGAATGAGCCTCTACAACTTCTGGAGGCTCTTGTTTGGCTGCACTGTTTTCAGGATGACCTTGACACTCCCAAGATAAGATTCACTGCAGCTTCCTCATTTGAATTTGCCTGATGTAAAACACGAACAGCCTCCCATAGGATTTAAACTAGAAAGCAGCTTTGAAGGTAGGCATCTTAGATACCTGGTACATCCAACTTGTGTAGGTTAGGTACCATCTGTGCCAAAGAGGATGGAATCACCAATTTGTAAGATGAAAAGAAGCCACCTGGGGACAAAGGTGCTCTCAATGGACAGACCCCAACTTGTTCATAAGAAAGAAGAAGATGTAATACTCTGTAGCTTGCAACGCTTGCAGGTCCAAAAAGTCTGCCCCCAGAAGTTATCGGGGGACACTGCTTCTCAAGTGATGTCCTACTGAAGACAGAGACCTGGCAAGGAAATCCAGTGCCAGAATAAAATCCCACAGGGGAAATGTTTTTCCTCCTCAGTGCCAAGTCTCAGGACCAACCCAGTTGTAGATCTTGGAGGACAAAAAGGAGAATGGGGAAGGTTGCTCTCAGTCAGACTTTTATAGATAAACACAGGTCCTGTGGATGGATATAGGGGCGGAACTACAGGTGAAACTCGAAAAATTAGAATATTGTGCAAAAGTTCATTTATTTCATTAATGCAACTTAAAAGGTGAAACTAATAGATGAGATAGACTCATTACATGCAAAGCAAGATAGTTCAAGCTGTGATTTGTCATAATTGTGATGATTATGGCTTACAGCTCATGAAAACCCCAATTCCACAATCTCAGAAAATTAGAATATTGTGAAAAGGTGCAATATTCTAGGCTCAAAGTGTCTCGCTTTAATCAGCTAATTAAGCCATAACACCTGCAAAGGGTTCCTGAGCCTTTAAATGGTCTCTCAGTCTGATTCAGTAGGAATCACAATCATGGGAAAGACTGCTGACCTGACAGTTGTGCAGAAAACCATCACTGACACCCTCCTCCATAAGGAGGGAAAAGAGCCTCAAAAGGTAATGGCAAAAAAAGAAGTTGGATGTTCCCAAAGTGCTGTATCAAAGCACATTAATAGAAAGTTATGTGGAAGGGAAAAGTGTGGAAGAAAAAGGTGCACAAGCAGCAGGGATGACCGCAGCCTGGAGAGGATTGTCAGGAAAAGGCCATTCAAAAAGTGTTGAGGACTTTCACAAGGAGTGGACTGAGGCTGGAGTCAGTGCATAAAGAGCCACCACACACAGACGGATCCTGGACATGGGCTTCAAATGTCGTATTCCTCTTGTCAAGCCGCTCCTGAACAACAAACAACGTCAGAAGCGTCTTACCTGGGCTAAAGAGAAACAGACCTGGTCTTTTGCTCAGTGGTCCAAAGTCCTCTTTTCCTGATGAGAGCAACTTTTGCATCTCATTTGGAAACCAAGGACCCAGAGTATGGAGGAAGAATGGAGAGACACACACTGCAAGATGCTTGAAGTCCAGTGTGAAGTTTCCACAGTCTGTGTTGATTTGGGGAGCCATCTCATCTGTTGGTGTTGGTCCACTGTGCTTCATTAAGTCCAGGGTCAACACAGCCGTCTACCAGGAGATTTTGGAGCACTTCTGTGCTTCCTTCCGCAGACGAGCTTTATGGGGATGCGGACTTCGTTTTCCAGCAGGACTTTGGCGCCTGCCCACACTGCCAAAAGCACAAAACCTGGTTCAATGATCGTGGGATTACTGAGCTTGATTGGCCAGCAAACTCGCCTGACCTGAACCCACCATAGAGAATCTATGGGGCATTGCCAAGAGAAAGATGAGAGACATGAGACCGAACAATGCAGAAGAGCTGAAGGCCGCTATTGAAGCATCCTGGTCTTCCATAACACCTCAGCAGTGCCACAGGCTGATAGCTTCCATGCCACGCCGCATTGAGGCAGTAATTGCTACAAAAGGGGCCCAAACCAAGTACTGAGTACATATGCATGCTTATACTTTTCAGAGGTTCGATAGTTGTTCTATGTATAATCCTTGTTTTATTGATTGCATGTAATATTCTAATATTGTGGATTTGGGGGTTTTCATGAGCTGTAAGCCATAATCATCACAATTATGACAAATCACGGCTTCAACTATCTTGCTTTGCATGTAATGAGTCTATCTCCATATATTAGTTTCACCTTTTAAGTTGCATTACTGAAATAAATAAACTTTTGCAAAATATTCTAATTTTTCGAGTTTCACCTGTATATCACATGTTTGCTCCCATTTTGGAGTCAGGAAAAAGGTTTGTCTTTAATTCTACTTTAATGTTAAAAGGCAGCAAGATCTCAAACTAAAAAGATGAACTCTGGATCCACCATGTCACTACATTTATTTACAAATTACTGTTATGATACCTGGGTTGGATAGCGTAAAACCACTGATACTTAAATAGCCAGGACCAACCCCTTTCAAGATTTTTTTTTTCTTAAATTAAACATATTACTGATAGCAATGAATGGTTTGCAGCCTGAAAGCCTCTATTAAAACCACAAAGATTTATTATTTGTATGCAGTCACTATGTATGAAAACTACATGCACATTGTAATGTAGCAGCAATAATACAACACAATTTTGTTTCGCAAATTAGGTTTTACTGGACATAGAGAAAACACATTTCAGATATCTTCTACATTTAATAATATGCATTTAATCTACAAAAAAAAACGTTTTGACAAGGAACAATTCAGGAATTGCTTACCATGACACAATACTATGCTACATTCGGCCTTATCATTTCTTTCCCATTATTAACATTGCCAGCAAGTCACATTTTTTAGCAACTAGGGAGGGGGCTCAACCTATGCAGGGAAGGTACATTATATGCTTATTTTTGCTTTTGGTTACTTGTTAAAAGGGATCCTATCCACTCACTGAAGCATGTAAAGCAAAGTAGAACCTTCATAATCTGCTCCATCAGCTTTTTATGTATATATAAACCTCAATCCATTCCTTAATCCATTCAGTTTTTAACAATATAAACTATCTTTGGCTTTTCCCCTTTTTTTTTAAGTGATATAACATACTCTCTGTAAATGGAAAGTTCCCGTAGATGACTACATAATGCACACAATAATTTAGATATGATAGGATGTCTTTCCACTAAATATTAAAGCAAGTGATATTGAGCATAACAAAGCCTGCCATGAAGGAAAAATATAGGGGCTGGAAAATATTGAATCATTTTTAATACTTAGGATTCTCACTTGTTTTGGTCTTCAGTTTGTGAATCGGGTGAGGTAACATCTCAGAACATGATTTTTCCTCAGTGAATGGCTTAGATAGGGGGCAATGTGTCAGCCAATACGTGCACACCAGATAACTTTTTCTTCTTATTTAGATAATTGGATTAATATACATCTAGCATTGGGCTAGAGAAATGACCATGAATTGCAGCATATATTGATGGTGCCCAGTGCTGGTCTCCCTATCTTGCAGCCAAAATACAAGTTGTAGGCTCGTAATCATTCCTGTTATTCTCCTTTTTGTGAGAGTTCGTGGTCAATTTTTTTATTTGGAGGCATTACTGAGTAGCCTATATAAGCATGAACGACTGAATCTGGATCCAATTAAAGGCTAATATTGCATCATCTCTGTATACATCAAGGATTGGCTTTACGTCATTAGTTGGGTGTATATATCATGGAAAACTAGAGCCCAATTTCAACAGTTTTTAGGGGTCTTTTTCGTTTTTCAGCTCACCCCTAAATGTGGTCAGTATTAGCTAATTTTATGCCCAAAAACTTTTTACCTGTTGAACTGTTTGTTTATTTTGCATTTTTATAAGATGAATACAGGTCTGCACTTTCCCTTGGGAAAGGACAAGTGCTTTTACAATGCACTGGGATGTCATTCGAAATAAAGTAACTGAATTCCAAACATTTGTAACAACAATGATTAAAGTATACACAAAAAAACACTAAATAATTACTCCCTTTTACTTTCTCATATGATAAAAGAATACTCTGTAAAGATGAGGACATATGACATATCTGACTAAATAGAGAATTGCTAAATAAACGTAGAGAACTTAAATTAAAAAAAAAAAAAAAAAAAAAAAAAAAAGTACCTCATGATTCATAATTTTTCCATAGGTCTCTACAAGAGACTCTGCATAGAAAGGAGTTTCCCCAAACAGGAGTTCATACATGGAGACTCCTAGAGACCACCAGTCACATTCTGTTCCATACTTCCCCTTGCCATCCTCCATAGCTTGTAAAATTTCTGGAGAAATATAGTCAGGCGTGCCAACTGCCACTGAGGATTCCACCTATTAATCAAAAAAAACAAAAAGCAAACACAAAATTAAAAGTCTAAGCCAACTTAATGTGTTTTTGACTCCTAGACCAAATTTAGAAGAAACCCAAAACATCCTACTTCCTAGGACACCACACTAAATGAAGCTCTCTTCCTGTACAGCATAGTACAGACCACAAAAGAAGATGTAATGCACTTTGACTTTTTGTCAGTGTCCATTTTCCAGGGAATATATGCTCATACATTTAGGCGGAAAAAAAAGTGAACTAACTGCATAACATGTTTTGGAAATTTACAGCTGCAGCAGTTGAATAGGTACTATAAAAAAAGAGCACACATTAAATCCTAAGAAAATCCTTAGATAAATTTGGGTCACCTATAACTAAAGTAATGTTATGATGAGTAGTAGTTGACAATAGTCGACGTTCGAGGGGTAAAATCAAGCTTTTATTCCAAATCAGCCCAGCTACTCATGTGCAAGATATTCAATTACATTGGCAGTGCCTTATGGTGATATCGCCAGACAGAAGACTATAGGATTTAAGTTATGATCAATATAATTTAAAAAATATATTTATGTGTGCACAAATAAAGTATTAAAGTGATTTTAAATGCTTCATAAAAAAAACAAACAAAAAACGAGTGCTCTCATAGAAAGCAGCTTTCTTTGGGGGCACTTGTGCGGGCTCTGTCCTGAGCCTCGCTGTCTACGTTTGACATGGATAGTGGTACTCAGCCCCACCCCCCACTTCCTTATCACTGGCTTGGATTGATAGCAGTGTAAGCCAATAGTTCCCGTTGCCTTAGCAAAGCCTATGAGACTGGGAAGTAAGGGCAGAGAAGAGCTGCAGACAGGCACAGTGCTGGATTGAATGAGTGTTCAGGTAAGTAAAAGGGGGGGGGGGGGGGGGGAGATACTGATACTGTAACCCTTCCCAACACTATTTAAAACTTAAAGTTTTTCACTAGAGTTACAATATGTACACCATATATCTTTCGTACCAATGAGATCTTGAGGTCAAATGTACCTATTTTCAATCACAGAATAATTTTGGGAGAATACAAAATGCACAATTACCATGCCATCTGGTTTCATCTTCAGACATGATCCAAAGTCTGCAAGTCTGATGTGGCCTTTCATGTCAATGAGAACGTTATCTGGTTTTATATCTCTGTGTAGAGGAAATAAAACAGCAAACTCAAAATTACTCTACATACAATTACTTGTAATGTTGTTTAGAATAGTTAAGTCCTCATGCACACTGGACGTTTTTACAGCTGTGGTTTTTGGCTTTTGACATTTTTTTCTACTGCCAGTAAACTCCCCAGCATGTTACCCTATGTGTCCATGCATACAGACTGTAATCAGCGTTTTTTTGGCTGGAAAAAAAACTAGTGGGTTTCTAGAGGAGTTTTTTAGCTGTAAAAATGATCTCATGCTGAAAAACACGGTAAATCGTGGCAAACTGGCATTTTTGGATGGTTTTTTGAGCAAAAAAAAAATGTTTATTTGGTAAAGAAGATTTGGTATAAAAAAAAAGCAGGGGGGGGCTAAAAAACACAAGAGTGAAAAAACGCTTAAAAACGCCGCTAAACACTAATGTAAAAATGCTAAAAAAAGTTGAAGAACTTACGTTTTTAACGTGACTTTATACAGCTAAAGTTACCAGCGTTATTAAAACGCCCAGTGTGCATGGAGCCTAAGTTAAGAGGCCAAGGTGAAAATTCCATTCAATTATTGTATATTTCATAGATAAAAGGATCGCAAACTGAACAGAAGAAAATCGAAAACATGCTTGGATGTACATAATGTCCTTCTGCTTAATATGCTAAATAAATTTACAGTGTAATAATAAATTCACTGAAGGTAAGGTGATTATGAAAAATCATCTTTGATGTCCACACACACTGCAGTACCATGAGGACCCAGCTTTTAGATATAGATGTGCAGATATAAAGTAACATTCCACTTTCATTACAAAATTTAAATAATTCTTGTAATTGCTACACATCCACTTTGAAACATAATTATATCACCAATTATCTCTCCACATCAACCTGAAGCTATCTACAATTTCTCCAAGAACACAAAAAAATTTGTTGCTTCATTGCAAACATGGCAAAAGCTTTCTGGGGTTAATCTACACAAATTGGAATGACACCACCCCCCACCCCCCATTGACTTCTCCATCACATCCAACAACGACACCATCAAACCCGCCCCGCAGGCCAGAGTACTTGGTGTCATTCTGGACTCCAAACTATCCTTCCAGCCCCAAGTCCAATCTTTAACAAACTCGTGCAGACTCCACCTCCGCAACATTGCCAAAATACGCACGTTCCTAACCCCAGAAACCACTAAACAGCTCATCCACTCCCTCATCATATCACGACTCGACTACTGCAACTCCCTCCTCACTGGCCTGCCTCGCCGCTGGCTATCCCCGCTTCAGTCGATCCTGAATACGGCTGCCAGACTCATTCACCTTTCCAACCGCTCCATTTCCGCCACCCCCCCTCTGCCAATCCCTCCACTGGCTTCCGATTGCATAACGAATCAAATTCAAAATCCCAACACTGACGTACAAAGCTGTCCACCATACTGCCCCGTACTACATCACTGACCTAATATCCAAGTACCGCCCAGCACACACACTCCGCTCCTCACAAGACCTCCTTCTCTCTAGTTCTCTGGTCTCCTCCTCCCATGCCTGCCTCCAGGACTTCTCCAGGGTGTCACCCATCCTCTGGAACTCCCTGCCCCAACCCATCAGATTATCACCTACTCTCCTCTCCTTTAGGCGCACCCTGAAAACCCATCTCTTCAGGGAAGCCTACCCCACCCCCTGCTAACTTGCAAACCTCCTCCACTCTTCCTACCACTCCATCCCCCACAGCTGTCTCCTCCTGTGCCACCATCCCCTCCCTCCTAGATTGTAAGCTCGAAAGAGCAGGGCCCTCGATCCCCTCATGTTTTGCATTGTATTGGTATTGTTCTGTCACATGTTCTGTCCCCCTTTGTAATGTACAGCGCTGAGTGAACCATTGGTGCTTTATAAATACTGCATAATAATAATAATAATATTGTTCAATTTGTGTATTTGGGTCACAGTTTTCTCCAGACATCTGCAGAGACCTTTGGATAACTTTTTTGGCATCACAAGTGCTGTCCCAGGTTTACTACAGAATGCCTTTCACCTCTGAAGATAATTTTTTTTTTCCTCCTAAATCCACATGGCTGTTGAGCATTTACTGCTGTTTTATTACCAAACTGGGACCAATCAAGTGACTATAGATGGATTCTACCTACTGCTCTGACCTCCAACTCTGCCCATGAGACATAACACAACCACTAGCAACTGCAAGAGATAAAAACTCAGGAAAGACTTTATTCAGTTTGCCCTTCATATGTCTTGTATACCAAAAGTGTATTTTATCATTCTTAAAAGAGAAAATGGCCAAAATGTTTTTGGTTATACATCTTTTCAGAATCACAGGAGTGCACTTATTTCTGCACTCCTCTTACCCAGATTCAGCCAACAGCGGCTAAAGTCTGCTGTCAGCTGCCATCACAAAGCAGGTCCAGGCTCTGCAGGGATCCTTACAATGTCAGGTTCTGTCTAGATGCTTTGATTGGCAGCTGTCTCAGCCTACCAGAATGCAGCTAAGAAAGTGAGCCAGATGCTCCCAACCCATGCATAGCCCAGTGCTCCAGTAAGCGCTGGAGGGGCAGAGCAGAGTGCGAGTGACTGACAGTCAACGCTATCTACTCAGTGAACACTGAGAAAGAGTGATCAGCAGTCATGTGATTACTCAGTTCTCGTTCTTAGAGCTGGTGGGGAACAGCTGCTGCAGCCATCTACGCCAGTATGTATGTTTATTTATATTTTCCAATCCCACACTTCTCCTCTGATTATATTAATAAGATTCATTGCACTATGTTGCTTTGTAATATGCTTCTTTAATATTTCACAGTTTTTTTTTTTTGATTTTTTAAAGTTGAATTGGGGGTACAGTGTCCCACTTGCTTTCAATGCAAGAAACATTTGCATACATTATGTTAAATGACTTTCATTAACAAATAACTGCTGCCTCCTGAATCTACAGTATCTAATCATTTATATTACCATTTGCCTTCACATCAGTGGATGTGGAACATCAGTCTACATGGATAGACATGGATATGTTTTTAGCCAGGGGGACCAAATCTTACCAGACTTACTTACACAAGCTCATGCCTTATAAGTTAATTTGTGTAAGGAGAGAGCTTAGTTTATTTATGAGACTTTGGTAATAGGCAATTTTAGGAGGATGCAAGGATTCCCACTATATAGCTATAACCTTTTTTTTAGCATAAAATAATAGTTGCAAAAGATAGTTCTGAGCAAGTGGATGTTTCTGAATCTTGCAAGTACCTTACAGCATCTGGTTGGGTTGCTCAGAGTTTTAGTAAAAAAGGCATATCTCAGTTTTCTCTTAGATCTTTTATTTACTTTATTTCAGACTGAAACATTTTTGTCCACTTGTGACTTGCTAGCATTATTGTTTGTTTTTTTTTAAAATCAGCTATTGCTCTGCTGTCTTGTTGGTTTTTCTCAGACAGGATTGCTTCATAGTGTAGGCATAAGTATTATAATTATTATTTTCATTAGCCTAGTGCCTTTTGGAGCACTGCACAACATTTCATTCTAGTTTTGCAGCTGAAATATAAAATTAAAAAGTGTGTTTTAAATAAATCTGAACACATTTAAAAAGACACAAAAAAAAAAAAAAAAAAAAAAAAAAGACCTTCAGGTCATCAGACCTCTGTTTAGCTTACAGCAGATATGGTTGCACTAGATTTCAGAATTCAATAACCATCTTACCTATGTACGTAGTTCAGTTTATGTATGGAGTCTATGGCTAACACCATTTCTGCCAAGTAAAAGCGAGCCATGTCTTCTGGTAGGCGGTCCTCAAACTTGCTAAGTAGAGTCAACAGATCTCCTCCAACATAGTAATCCATCACTAGGTACTTTTAAAAAATGCATTACATTCAGATCATCAGAGAACAATGTAAAACTGTTCATGTTCAGTGTAAGGACTACAGTATGAAAGAAGCAGATTTCCTTAACACATTACAATTCAAATATATTTACAACAAATAGACATTCTGAGTTATTCTTGTAATGACTGTCAGAAAGCAATATTGAATGTGAATGTCACGCTTCAATAATGGTTAGAGAGACCTTGTCACCAGACTGTATCAACAAAGAACCCTTTCCAAAAGTGGAGTGGTTGGAGTCATCAGGCCACCGTCCCCTAGTTGGTTACATTTCCAACATCTTGACAGCAGCCATGTGACCGTTCAGTAGCATTCTAAAACCCACAGCTGGATAGAGTGTAGTGTAGCAGTAGATGGAAACTTTAGGCTGGTGAGGATGGCAGGTGGTATACGTATAAAAGTGTGCTCTCCCTTGTTTGGTGGTCAAATATGTAACAATCTGCTAGAATGAATCTTCAAAGAATATGACTGGATATATGAATTATCAAAAAGACACATTGTGTCATTGATTTTGAGCAAAACTGACTGGAAAGAAAATCCTTCCGTTCATAAATAAGACCGTCCTGTGCATGGCCACCATTAGACTGACAGCATTAACAAAACTACAAAACAGACAGTGGATTACAGGAGGCTGATATCAAGACAGATACAAGTACTTCTAGATAGTGACCGGCTAAAAAAAAAAAAAATATACAGCATATGTGAACATTATTTTTATTGTGTATCAACTAAAAAGAGCATTTCTGTACATGCAGACTGAACTGAGATGCTTCGCTTTACTAAAGTGAGTTCCAATGACTGTGGCATAAAGTCATTATGGAAAAGAATGTGGGCGAAAATGAGCACAGTCTGAGCAATCGGCATATTCACAAATCCTATTAATTGCTATCTTGCTATCTGATTGAGCTGGAGCAGGTTTTCCTTAGAAAACATACATACAAATAGCACTGCCCTTTTTTACACCAAGCCAAAATTTTTGGTAGCTGTTTGCAATCTGGGGAAATCACAAGCCACACACCTTACAATATAGAACCTGGTTACTAAATCTGGAAAACACCCCCCCCCCCTAAAAGGTCACTAGAGGCAACACCTTTTCCAATTTTAATATCATATATGCATTTATCACCTCTTCTCCTATTTTATGTAGTCACACAGCAGAAAGTCTATTTTCTTGCCGATGAAGTTTAAATCCTGCCACTGCCACTATTCATATCTAAAATAGAAGCTAAATGAATACATAACAAAGGGCACTAACAGTGATATTGCTGTATAAACAGTTGTTTGAAGCAGAAATTCCAAATGCTATCATCTGGTGCATCTAAAGTGACAATTGACATTGTAAGGTTAGTATCACTAGAGTTCTTTAAATCAAGTAAGCCTAGGCAGGCTTATGAACTGCAAATTCACAAATACTTCTGCATAGCCACCACTATGCTCCCAACTGCACTGCCCCATTTACTGTGTCGCATTAATCACCCAGAGCTCTTAGCTATGGTGTACGCTTCCTCTTGACTCCCATAATGCACTGCTCTGTGCCTGAACAGCAAATAGCTAGGCCCTTACACTACCAGGAGTCAAGGGCCCTTACACTGCCAACCCTACCCTTTTGAAAATACAACCTTTCAGAGGGTCAGTTCTACTATTTTCAGGTGGCTAAAACATCAGAATTAGAGGAAGGGCTAGCATTGTTGTGGTGGGATCAAGTACAGGATTCTCACTACACACCATCAGTTGCCAATTAGTTGCAATTTATAAAACTGTTGTTATAAAAATGTTTGTACTCTAAAGGATGACGAAAAGTGTTGATTTTGGGACAAAAACACCATGATTTATCAACACCCAGCAGAATATCTTACCAGGTAGCTATCATCATGAAATGCATAGTGTAAGCTTGGAATCCACTGTGTGTCACCCTTCACCAAAACATCCCTTTCTTCACGAAAACAAGCAGTCTGCAAAACAGAATACCAATCATTTTAAAAGTGTATAGAAATTTGACACAATAATTACGTTGTTGATTTATCTTTTTTTTTATATTTACAACTGGTGAAGGGAAAGTTGTGACAACTTTTTATTTACTAATCACCTTCCATTCATCTCCCTTACATTATCATCCCCAATGTTTGGTCCGGGAAGCGATATTATCATGCCATTGTTTCAGTTGATCAGTACCTCACCATATACGTTTTATTGAACCACAAGTGTTATTGGTGCAGGTAGATGAATGTGAACACAATTAAGCTATGTTGTTAAAGAGAGTGGGAGGAAAGCAAAGCACTCGGAGAACACACAGTCACTTCTGTGCATGTTCACATTGGCACTCCCTTGTGGGTGCCAGTATTTGTATTTTCTAGCTTAATTCACACACAGCCATCAACATTGTAATGCAGATTTAGGTCGACTGTACATGATCAATGCATGAAACTGCTATTACTAGTTATGAAAGGGCTAATTGTGTCAGGTAAGGCATTATGTAGTCTCTTCAATGATTTACATGTAAAAGATCAGCATGATGTACATCTAGCAGTCATATTTGCTCATTACAGAAGCAGGCTTTGCAAAAATATTGAAAGTCAAACATGTACAAGTTAAAAAAGTATCACATCAAAATCTACTTTAAACCCCAAAACATAAAATTATTAAACTGCAGCTTACCAACTCTTAGATTTGGTGGCTGCAGTAGTTTTCCTTTTAGGTTTTTTTCTTATATTTTCACCTGGTGATCTGGCCAGTAAATCTGTTATTTTGGAACTTACTTTAACAGACCAAACTGTCCCAATAAAGGGGCAGCTAAAGGGTTGTGACAAACCTTTTAACACTGAGAGGAAAAAACTGTTTGCTGTAACTACTTATAAAGCGTTACTGCGAGTTCAGCAATTTAGTGAAGTCCATCTAAATCTGCTAGTCTAACATTACCCTCTCCCCAGACTGACAACAGCGCCCAAAAGGTGTCTGCTTTACTACTTTATTCAGAATGCAGACCCTCTTCATTTTAATAACAGAAATGCAACACACACATAGTGTAGTTTATTATGTTATGCAAAGTATTTCCTATATCCCACTGCACGAAAATTTGTGTTATCAAGACATGCACTGAGATCTCCTGTATGATATACACCATATCTAGATATATATGCAATAAGAACACCAGCTTCTGAGTCACTGAAATGGTATATGATGTGCTGAGATGCTTGTCTGTACTTGCTTGATCTCTGGAAGGCATCCCAGACATGTCAGGGAATAGGACCAATGACACATCTTGGCATTCCAGTTTGACATAACCCGAGGGAAATGGAAGGCCAGCACCGCATCTCTCAAAAACCTGAGTTCACGACACTTGCGCTCTCTGCAGAAGGCAAATTTTCACTATAACCTACTGGGGACACATGAAAGCTTTTATCGCATACAAAAACAGAATGGCTATTTTCCAAATGCCTGCAGAGCACTCCACACTTGTAGTATTCCTGCAGGTTCAGCCTGTTTTGCTGTACAGTTTACTGATAGACTGATCACTTAAATCTTTAGGTTATATGGCTGAGATTTAGAACACCTTAGCTGAACTGAACTAGCAGATAGAGGCTTGTGAACATTTTTGTTATATATATGTATTTTTTTTTTTTTTCAAATGACCCATGTAATGCTAATGTTTTGTGATGTTGGCCGTACAATTTCAGCTAGGGAAGAAGCCGGTTTATGCAAGTATGGAATAAAGAGTCTACTTCGCAACAACCACCAATCCGTTCTGCTCAAAAATTCCATTTTTTTTTTCAAACAAGTCACTAAACCCAACAGTCAGGAAGAGAATAAGGGCTCATGCTGTAGCAGTTCAAATAGCTCTCAATAAAACAACAATGTTGGAGAAAGCGTTTTGTGCAACAATTAGCTGTACTGCAATGGCAGGCTGGATTGAAGTTTTGAACCATTTAGTACACACAGTAATGTTTTACTGTCAGCAATATGACATGTAGGTGGGCTGCCTCTGGCAAACCCCCTGTCTAGATCCAGCCCTACAATGCAAAAAAGTATTCATACCTCTTGAAATGTTCCACATTTTGTCATGTTATAGCCAAAAACTTAAATGTAATTTATTGGGATTTTGTGTGATAGACCAACACAAAGTGGCACATAATTGTGAAGTGGAAGGAAAATGATAAATGGTTTTCAAAATGTTTTACAAATATTGAACAGTATGGTGTGCATTTGTATTCAGCCTCGTTTACTCTGATACCCCTAACTAAAATCTAATGTAACCAATTGCTTTCAGAAGTCACCTAATTAGTATCTAGAGTCCACCTGTGTGTAATTTAATCTCAGTATAAATACAGCTGTTCTGTGAAGCCCTCAGAGGTTTATTAGAGAACATTATTGAACAAACAGCATCATGAAGACCAAGGAACACACCAGACATGTCAGGGATAAAGTTGTGGAGAAGCTTAAAGCAGGGTTAGGTTATAAAAAAAATATCCCAAGCTTTGAACATCTCACACAGCACTGTACAATTCATCATCCAAAAACGGAAAGAGTATGGCACAACTGCTAACCTACCAAAACATGGCCGTCCACGTAAACTGACAGGCCAGGAAAGGAGAGCATTAATCAGAGAAGCAGCTAAGAGGCCTATGGTAACTCTGGAGGAGCTGCAGAGATCCACACCTCAGGTGGGAGAATCTGTCCACAGGACAACTATTAGTCATGCACTGCACAAATCTGGCCTTTATGAAAGAAAGCCATTGTTGAAAGAAAGCTATAAGAGGTCCCGTTTGCAGTTTGCGAGAAGCCATGTGGGGGACACAGCAAACATGTGGAAGACCAAAATTGAACTTTTTGGGCCTAAAAGCAAAATGCTATGTGGCAGAAAACTAACACTGCACATCACCCAGAACACACCATTCCCATCATGAAATATAGTGGTGGCAGCATCATGTTGTGGGGATGCTTTTCTTCAGCAGGAACAGGCAAGCTGCTCAGAGTTGATGGGAAGATGGATTGGAGTCAAATACAGGGCAATCTTTTGCAGAATCTAGCAGGTTTTCTTCAAAGACTTCAGACTGGGGCAGAGGTTCACCTTTCAGAAGGACAACCATTCTAAACATACAGCCAAAAAGGAGCATGCATGCTTCGAATGCAAACCTGCCCATCAGCCTCTTCTGGACTTCCGATTACTTCACCGCTGTCAGCGTTGGGATCCCCCAGCCTGCCTGGAGCCTTGGTGACGACCAGCGCAACCATCCTAGGTCTGGGGAGACACTACCTTCAGTGGTCCGGATAGGATTCCTTTTGAAAGATGGCTATATGTGATATGCAGTTTAAACAGCTTCTCTTGTTAGTAAATCGTCTTTTAACCTACATACTACACTCCAAAAGTGTTGCTGTTTTCTTTCTTTTTTGCCCATCACAGAGGAGCTTCTACTCTGAGTGCATTTTGGGACATAGTCATATGGACTTATTCCTTCAAGGACAATGGACTATTAACCCTTCTATATATATTTCATGTATTTATGGTTTCCCCTCCCCCGAGTCTGGACTCCCTTAGGGTCACTATTTTTCCCCCATCTACCCAAAAAGACTTGCAGCTGTAATTGCAGCAAATGGTGGTTCTACAAAGTATTGAATACTAATGCAAGCCACACTTTCATATATTCATTTGTAAAAAATATTTTGAAAACCATTTATCATTTTCCTTCCAGTTCACAATTATGTGCCACGTTGTGTTAGCCCATCACATAAAATCCCAATAAAATACATTTACGTTTTTAGTTGTAACATGACAAAATGTGGAAAATTTCAAGGGGTATGAATACTTTTTTTAAGACACTGTATATGTATATGAGCTCTTAACCACTTCCAGTCCGGATACTTTTACCCCCTTCCTGACCAGGGCAATTTTCAGCTTTCAGGGCTATCACACTTTGAATGACAATTGCGCAGCCATGCAACACTGTACCCATATGAATTTTTTACCATTTTTTTTTAGACAGATAAAACTTTATTTTGGTGGTATTTATTCACCGCTGGGATTTTTATTTTTTTTTGCTATGTAAATGAAAATGTCCAAAAATTTTGAAAAAAAGTGTTTTTCTTATAAAATTTTGCAAATAAATAATATTTCATCATAAATCTTGGCCACAATTTATTCAGTTATCTTTTTAGTAAAAAAAAAAAAAAAAAAAATAAGCCAAATTAGTTTATAACCAAAAATTATAAATTATAAAGGATGTGAAAACAATAATTTCTCTTTCTCTCTGTCTGCATTCTTGCAGCCATTGAGAACTACTGAGTGAGCTGTGATTGGTCACAGCTTGTCACATGGTCCAAGGCTGTTGTGAATAGCCTTGTACCATGTGACCTCTGTGATCATTCACAGATTTCACACGTAGTAAGCAATGTCAGAAGTGACATCTTGCTTACTGCTTTGCATGTGATCACTGATTGGCCAATCAGTGATCACATGATCAGGACCTCGTACAGATGTCCCGTCCATCGATTGGTGATTCACTGTGTCCAGAGGACACCAGATCGCGGTGCTGCGCGCTCCCGGGGAGCGCGCACAAGCAGGGTGCGGGTAGGCCGTTTATATACAATGGCCGGTCGGGAAGTGGTTAAAGGATACGTTCACCTTTTAGAACATGTTACACCAACCCCTGTGATGTCCCCGCTGTGACAGCAGGCCAGGGATCTTCTCCCCATGCCTGTTGTAACAATTTTAAAAAAAGATGCAGCCATTCTGTGAATGGGTAATTACAACTATCATCAGCTTATGCAGCCGACGGCTTGTCGTTCTCAATGAATACCTACCAGAACACTATGAGCGCTATAAATAACTCACAGATGCCTCTGTCATTGTGCAACTGCCCGCCCATACGAGGTATGAGCAGACAGCTTACACTGAGTCTGCAAAAGCCCTGCATTGCACCCGTGATCTGTTGTCGGGGGTGTAATGCTTTACAGGCTC